ATGGCAGTGGCCAAGCACAGTATGGGCGGAGATAGAGGGCTGGTTTCTGACCAGGACTCAGATCCCAGGCAGCAGGCCCACCCTCCCACCCGGATCAGTGAATAAGGGGTTTGTAAAATACACAGAGAGAATGAAAATGACCCCTCTGACTGAAACCAGCTGTGTCAGGCTTCTCGCTGTCTCTCCTGATTTGCTCTCTCACATAAATGGATGTGGTAGAGGACCATAGAAAGTAAACAGAACCATTTTTTTTTCTTTCTTGCAGTCACACCTCAGTAATAGCCCTGGTTTTTATAGCTGAAAAATATATGTTTATTTGCTCATTAATTTCCCTCTCTCTTTCCCTTGCCTTTTCTTGGCATTGGGTAGAATGTTATTTAAAACAAGACACAGTTCAGCTTCAAAAAGAAAAATCATTCTGCAGAATACAGCTTGGACTCGTTTACCATTCATTTATCATCCCTAAGCGAGTAGGGTACAGATATCTGTATTTGGTATATTTTAATGATTTCCAGTGCAGTGACTCTTGTTGGCACCAGGATACAGGGGAGCAGTAGGCTCTTTAGGACTTTGAGAAGTGCCTCAGACTGTTTAGAAAGGACATGGAGAAGATTAAATGTGGCATATGCAGAGCAGCTCCATGATCATTTATCTTCACCGCTTTCCTTCAAAGATGAAGGCTGGTGCTTGGAGGATAGACTCAACCCAAAGTCCCGAGATTCTCTGCGGGGGGCGGGGGGGGGTGCTTGGAAACCTTTAGTTTTTTCTCCTTTGCTTTGAAAAAGCTTTGGTTTTTATGTGTCTCCCATTTCCTTCATGTAGTGGGCAAATAAATAATGATATGCCTAACTCAGTGCCCAGTAAATATTTGTTGAGTGAATAATTAAATGGAATGTTATAAGCTTGACTAGGATTATTGTCTTGGCGTGAAACATGCAAGAATAGACTTGAGGCAATCAAGTAATTTCCCTTAACAGCACAAGCTAATTATTTGAGAGATGAAGATCTGGTGCATAGTATTTATTTGTCAGGCTCCATTTGCTCCTAATTAAAGGTGGAAGAGTTGTTTGTAGCATTGAAGGGATGACATAGTGACCCACTCCTACATATCTTTTCAATTTTCCATGCCACTTTTTCAGGGAGAATATATCAAGGTGAGGGTAATGTGCATTCTTTTGTTTATTTATGTTTTCTTTCATTTCTGTTATCATTCTTTAAAAGGCAGGGAGGGTGTGGAGCGGGGAGTCCTTTGACAGTGTACTTTGACAGCCCAGCTGCCTGCATGATCCGTAGTTGACTCTGCTCACCTTCGTTGACTAATACACTCGTCCTCCCATAAAAATACCACTTGCTGTGATCCAAGTTGAAAATGCCGCAGCAGCATCATAAGCCTCAGGAAGTTTCATTCATTCCAAAAATATGAACTCAGAGCCTAATGTGCATAAGGCTCTGTGCTAACGCCGTGGATTTAGCACTGAGCAAACTGCACCGTGGTTCCTGCCCTCATGAAGCTTACAATCTGGAATGGCTGACAGATATTCTTAATTGAATAATCATTCTCAAAATCATAACCTGAATTTTAAAAAGGAGAATATAGCTCTACTGCACCATGTAACAACAGCGTCTGATTTATACCAGGAGACCAGGGAGAATTTACTAAGGAGGAGTCTGGAGCTGAGAGCTATACAATGTCTGAAGAATGGGAAAGAGCATCCCAGGCAAGAAGACTATCAAATGCAAAGGCCTGTGTGGCCTGTGTGGGAAGAGCAAGGGCTGTTGGGAAGGCAGAGCCACACACTATAGTGCCTGTGCATATGTCACATCAAGGACTTTGACATTCATCCCATGAGCATTAGAAAGACATAGAAGTGTTATATGTCCAAGGGTTACAGAGTGAGGGCAGGGACAGGAGACCTTATCAGATCTGTGTTGTGAGGGGGAAATATAAGAATACACTCATTCTTCACAAGCATAACAAGGGAGGTGATCATACTGCGCCCTAGATAATCCTTTGTTGCATCTGAGCTTCCTGGAAATTCTTACCTTCCCACTGCCAAGTTTCAAAACGACTGTATCTTGATCTCCAGTTGTGTGCCGGGGAACACACGCACAGCCTACTGCTAACCATGCAGCAAAGACGTCTCCTCATGCCAACTTGTCTAGCCCCTTCTCTTATTTCTGCCTTTCCTTTTGATGGGGGGTGGGAGGGTGGCGTAGCACAGTTTATTCCTGTTTTTGGCAAAGTGTGCATGGCATGACTTCTGGCACCTTCTCTCCCCTCTAGTGGTGTGAACTTGGCACATGGCTTAGCTTCTCTTTTAGCCTTGCAGAGTTGTTCTGAGGATTAGTTGAGTTAATACTTGTAAAAGACAGAAAGAGGAGTGGCATATAGTAAGTACTCAATTAATGCCAGCCATTATGACTAGTAGATAGATGTCAAAGATATAGTGTTAAAGTGAAAAAAACACAAGATACAAAACTACGTATCATAAGAAGGGCTTACACTAGTGCATTCTTATAAGTGCCAAGGAAATGTCTGAGGATACACGGTGGTTACTTCTGATTAATAGGACTGGGGCTTAGAGAACAGTAGGCAGGTGCCTTTATTTTTTCATCTCATATTCTTGTAATAGTTGATTTTTTTAACTGTGCAACTATATATTTATCTAATAATAAAGTCACAAAGAATAGTTTAGAAACTCCATTAATATTATCTAATATGTCAATTTTAAAGAAAAACAATTATTTCATTATCTTTTTTCATGATTTTATTCACTGTTAAGTTTGGAAATATCATTTAGAAACTTGTCTTGGGGTATAATATATATATCTGCAGTCCAGCAATTAATTCAATCTTCATTTCTTTTGCTTATGCTATGTTCAACCAAAGCTTATAAAATCACATGTTATATATGCATAACCCATGAACACAAGACAAGAGTGCAGTGAAGGCCTGGGGAGGGGGCAGGAGCAGGGTGGAGGGGTCAGTGGGGGAAAAGAGAGGACATCTGTAATACTTTCAACAGTAAAGATAAATTTATATATATATATTCGCATGCTATCATGATCCCACTGGTGTGAAGTGATTCTCCATGTTCCTCCATCTACATGTGCATACAGAGAGTTGTCGGGAATGCTGTTCTCCCACAAAATATAAACAATGCATTTGGTTCACTTGTTGCTGACTTCATTGTACTTTTAAGCATTGCTTAAATGTTTTATAATGAGCATTTTTATTAAAACAATGACATCATTTCTAAAAATTGGAGGTGAGGAGTATTAGTTCACTTCGTTCATTAGTAGCAAACCCAGTATCCAGCATCTAATCTTTCCTAGGAATTCAGGAAACAACTTCTTCAGGATTTCCATGATCAAGGTCCATAGCTATTGCTCAGGAAAGAGGAGGCAAGTGGGCTCGGTAGTTACTGAATGAGGATGTAGGAAATGTTTTCAATAAGTAACAGATAGGTCTGCCAAGCCCCACCCCCTTTCTTTTTTTAAGTGGAGGTTCTTTATGTTTAAGTAAAGACATTGATGGATAGAATTGGTATTTATCAATAGTTTACTCTGACCAGTTGAGAATCATTAATTTTGTACAGGGCTGCAACGTGGTTACTTTGATCATTTAAATATGACTCTGACTCTTCTTTTTCCACAGTGCTCACACCCCACTGTTATCAATCAGATAAGAACACAAATCAGGAGAGAACTTTAGCTCCCTAGTAAATACCTTATGAAGCCAATGTGAGCTTGCCAACTAGATTATCATCTCTGCAGAAGATACATTTCCAAGCAGTCACTGTATTATACAGTACTTAGCACGCGGGGCCCCTCAGGATATGATGATAAATGTCTGTATAGAAGAAAAAACAATTTTCAAGAAACTGCAACGAAGCTGATTACCAACTGATTTTTTAAATCAGGGCCAGGAAATGATGGTCCATGGGCCAAGTCTGTCCCGTGACTTAATTTGCACAGCACAGGAGCTAACAATAGTTTTTGCATTTTTTTAAATTAATTTAAAAAATCAAAAGTAGAAAAGCATTTCAGGTCAGGTGAAAATCCTTTGAAAGTCAAATTTCCTGTCCCTAACTAAAGTTGTACTGGAAACACAACAGGATCATTCATTTACATACCTTCTACAGCTGCATTTGCACTCAAAGGGTGGAGTTGAGTCTTATGACAGGAGACCCTAAGGCATAATGATGAAAATATTTGCTTTCTGACTCCCTTTAGAAAAAGTTGGCTGAGCCCTGCTTACTCGAGTGCATGTCTGTTTGCTGGTGAATACATAATGCTTTTGTGTTAGACACAGACCTGTTGATGTGGCATCAGAGAAGCTGTAATCTTCAACTTTCAACTTTGCTCACTTCCTTCCGGAGTCAAAAGATTGTTACTGTGTGACTATGGAGGGACTATGAGTTACTAGTATATCATGGTAACAAATGGAAAAGACCTATATATTGCCTCCAAAAGTGATGGATTATAATCTAATTTGAAACTTAAATAGCATTAGTAGTTCCTATATTTCAAAACGTGTAGTTACTTCCTTTCTGTGTCTGAGAAATCTTTTGAAAGGCAAAAACATTTTATTCTTGTGACTTTTACAAAATGCAGAGCCACATCAGCTGGGCCCTGTGCTCAGTGGCATTATCATAGTGAATGGTTTTAATTGGTTTTTACTTGTATTTGGCTGTCAATAGGACATGATAAACATATGGACAATGGGAAATATGTTTCAGTAGAATGTCTAAATCTTGATAGGCTATCCTGCTCATTTGCTGTGAAATGGTCATTAATGACTGGCATTGGCCCTCAGACCTACCATATTATATATGAAAACATGAAATTAATATAAAAGTCAAATTGCTACCAGTGAAACAGTGTTACTACTAGCACCATAAAATGTTACCGAACTGGAAACACAAGTCATTTTGATTCAGAATCCCCACTGTGTACATGACTGACCTCAACTGTCCCCTCTTGTTTTGTTGTTTCAGAGGCTGAAGGCCGCGTTGACTCACCACCCTGCTGCCATGTCAAATGGGAATATGAACACCATGGGACACATGATGGAAATGATGGGCTCCCGGCAGGACCAGACGCCGCACCATCACATGCACTCCCACCCACATCAGCACCAGACACTGCCAGCCCATCACCCCTACCCACACCAGCACCAGCACCCAGCTCACCACCCCCATCCTCAGCCTCATCACCAGCAGAACCACCCGCATCATCACTCCCACTCCCACATTCATGCACACCCAGCACATCACCAAACCTCGCCACACCCACCCCTGCACTCCGGCAACCAAGCACAGGTAGACCCTTTTTGTGATCTCTTCCCCCTTCCTGTTAACAGTACAAGCTCTTATGAGGGGTCATGGGCAGCAACTTTGTTTGACCAGCCCCGATGTTCTATCTGACACTCGGGGGAGCTTTGTTCATTTCCTAGGAGGTAATGGCTACCCATAAAATACTACCAGATCATAGTTTCTATAAGTAATACAGTAAATTTTAGTTCTCAACTCCAGTGACCAATGTAAACTTCAAGTTCTCCAAAATCTCTTTCTGCAGTGTGTTACGAAGTTAACCCTAAAAATGTATTATCGATGTGAAGAGTAGGAAGAATTTAAGCATGTGAAGAAAGGTGTGGATAAAGAATGAGAAAAAAGGTTAATGCTAACTATGGTTCTAGCTACAGTGCTTCAAAACATTATAAAGACTCCATTTTGTCTCCTGTAAAATGGAAGTTAAATACAATGGGCAATATTCTAAATAACATTACATGCTAAAAATCTAAAGAGTAACAATTCCAGGCAGACAAAGAGGCTCGGTAATGGATGTCGGGGCATAAGGTGCTGTGTAAATGGTGAAGAAAGGTGAGTCATCCCGCCCACTGTGAAATGCGTTGGAGGAGCGGACAGAGAGCCAAGCTCTGTAGATCATCAGTTCAAGAGAAGGGCCAAGTCCCAGGGGGTGGGAGTCACCAGGAGTGGCTAGAAAGGAAGCCAGCATTTAGACTCAACTGAAAGAGAGTTGGGGGACCAGGCAGACATTATGTCACCCAGCCCAACAGGAGAGGCGGGTCCGTGTACCCGAGTGAGTTTTAGTAAGTGGATGAGGGGCATGTTCGGAGCATGGCTAGCCCTAGACACTTTGGATCTTCGAGCAGGATGACCTTTGGCAGTCCCCTCCACCCATTCCACTCTGCCAGCTTCCAAGCAGCTGGGTCAGAATGGTGTCCGAAGCTTAGGACCGCCAAGTAACACTTATTCATCGTCTGCCTCTGGACCTCACACCGGGCAGCTTCTTGAGCTCTTGGATCCCCTTCCCTAACACACACCAAACCTGGACAGCCATCCACATGGCTGGGTCATCCACAAGCTATTCAGTGGATACGCTGATTTGCTAGATAAGCTTACTTTTGCAAAGGTTCTTAGAGGTGTTCAATATAGCAAATGACAGTGCAGGCTTTGGAGAAAACTTCCATTCTTTGCCCACTTTACTTCCTCCTGTGTGACAGTGGTCAGATTAACCTCCCTAAGCCTCAGTCTTTCCATCTGCAAAATGGGGTAATAATAGACTAAGCTTATAGAGTCTCAGGAGCATTAAGTAAGCAAATGTCTGCAAAGCCCTTAGCACGGTTTTCATTACATGTTGGCCATGATTACTTCTAAAGCCAAGGAATTTGATAGAAGTTGAGCAAGAGTATAGCAATAAAATACTATCCAAAGCACCTTTATAGTCAAATGCCCTAGTGGGACATGTATTTAGAAGGCAGAAAGAAAACTGTAAGGTCAAAAATAGGCAAGGAGATTCACATGTGTACTTATTTTTTAAGGGGAAGGATAACATCAAATTTTTGTTGCCTTGGTGTACAGACAAGTTTAACAGTTCCTTGAATATAAAAGCTACTCATTAACTAATTACCAGTTAGCCAATTGCCCTCCATTTCAAGTAAGCTTATATAGGCCAATTATACTATATGCAGTTAGTTCATTGCTATTATAATTAGATGCACACACAGTTGTTTTTTTATCCTATACTAAAAAGAAAGAATCCAAGTTGGTCTTGTTAAAATTTGAACAAGATCATTTAGATGGTATTGAAAATACCACTCTTAAACTTGGCTAATTTCTGAGAGCTTGTTGTATTGCTTAATTGTATGATTATTATCAGAATAGTAGGAATAGAAGTTTATTTGGGGTGTTTTTTTTAATCCTCACCCTTGGATATTTTTCCATTGATTTTATTTTATTATTTTTTTTTTAGACTGACAGTGGAAGGGAGAGGAAGAGAGAGAGAGAGCAGCAGCAATGTGAGAGAGACACATTGATTGGTTGCCTCCTGCATGTGCCCCAGAGTGGGAACCGAGCCTGCAACCCTGCAACTGGATATGTGCTCTTGACCAGAATTAAACCTGTGACCCTTCAGTTCTCAGGCCGACGCTCTAACCACTGAGCCAAACCAACTAGGGCTGAAGATGATTTGGAAATATTCTGTCTTTTTAAAATCACAATTCATTCTCTTTGGTCAAAATTTTCAGAGCATCAATACCAACAGAAATCCATTTTTTAAAATAAAGTGATAGGTAACAATATTACCAGGGACACAAATCTGGCCTTAGGGTTGCATTTGCAATTTCTCCTGGCTTTTTGTAATTCCCTTGAATGTAAGGTTGTGATTTCAGAGTCCTGGTGTCAATCCTTGGCCAGGAGAAATTTCTCTTAATTGTAGCACACCTTGAACCCTGAACCTGGACTGAATCTGAAGCCACCATATAATTTACCCCTTTGGGTGAAGCACAGGAAAAGTGTCAGAAGATGCTGGCCCATGTGGCTCAGTGGTTGAGCATTGACCCATGAACCAGAAGGTCACAGTTTGATTCCCAGTCAGGGCACATGCCAGGTTGCAGGCTCGATCCCCACTAGGAGGCAGCCCATCTATGATTCTCTCTCATCATTGATGTTTCTATCTCTCTCTCTCCCTCTCTCTGAAATCAACAAAAGCGTATTTTTTTTAAAGTGTCAAAGGATAAAGGTTGGTTAGAGTGGGAGAACATAGTATTGAAAAAAGATCCCTGCAGTGGAAATTAAAACCCAGTTTTGCCTACTTGAGAGTCTTATCTAGAGACCACTAATTCACAAAATGAAATGGTAAAGGCAGAAATAGCCAAGGTCATGAGTTCCCTCTAATGCTTATAGAGTCACCTTTGTGGTGATAGCTCAGAAGTTAACATCTGAAAGGACAAGAGCTAACCCTTTTCCAGTAACAAGGATCATGCCTTTGTATCCACTCAGGTGGGGTGATACCTTAAACAAGTTATTTTCTTATTCCTCTGTGATGGGGAGGAAAGGAATCAACAATAAAACATTTTAGAAAATGTCTTAGCTTTAAATAAAATTACCAAGAGGCAGTCCAACCTCAAGCCCGAGCCTGATGCTTTTGCAGTTAGTCATACAATGTTTGATAGATTTTGAGATTGAAATATATCACCAGCAGTCAGCTGATGTCAACCAGTGGCCATTATTAGCACAATTACAGTCATTCTGATTGATTTCAATCACAGGGTTAGAATGCGGTAGAAAAGGTTGCTGGAATTCACTTTTAAAACTTTTGCCTGTTATTTCAGCAGGTTAAATGTCCCTTGAAAAACATCTTTATAGGTATTACAGCCTTAAGCTGGAGTGACTGAGAAATCGGGGGGGGGGGGAGGGAGGAGATACACCCTTTATTGAGAATGAAGAAGGGGAGTGAAGAAAGGGTTAGTGTCCAGAGACATAAAGAGTCTGTGGTAGAAATTTCACTGGGCACTGTGTATCAGCCTCATGGAGGGAATAAACCTGTATATGTGGGGGTCTCCCAAACCTTAGATGTGGCTGAGCCCCAAGCAGATCTTACAGGGACTCTATAAGCACAGTAAAACTTTTTAATAAAGTGCTTTGCCACTCCTCGGATTTCCTTATAATGGCTGTAAATGGGGAAGCACAACAGTCCCTCCCTGTCACACCGCGCAGTGTATAAGAGGGCTCAGTGCTGCTCAATGCCTGCTTGTAAAGACCCTGCTTCCCAATCGCCTAGAAAGGCCTCCTCTGACTCCCTCCGCCTTAGTCACACCCTGAAACAGTGAACACAGGATTCCAGCTGCTTTCGGGGGTTCACGGAATCTTCTGAGGGGAGTGACAGTGGGATGAGGTCCCAGAGCTGTGCCCTGGGAACAGAGTTTAACAGCATTAGGATGACAGGAGCTCCCGACCTGCCCAGACGGGGTTGTCCGCTGACCACAGCAGACTCTCCATATTGTGACACTAACCCTGACCTCTTGGTGCTCACCTGCAGCCAGACACTGGCACTTTACCATTTTAAAACGTACCTTAAATAAAACAGTTTTAGCACCTGAGGGAGGAGAAACAATGTGTCCCTCTGCCAGGGTTCAGCCAGTGCCTATAGGGGAAAATCTGTTTGACTATCTTTTCACAAGTCATCAGTTTATCTTGTCAAAATATCACGCAAGATAGCTCAAGAGCTGTCACTGTTTACTGCACTCTTAGAAACCCAGTTTGAGATGCTACTAAAGCAGTGGACTCAGCTGCGCTTTGCACGTCAACCCCGGCTTGGGTGGCTGTTCCCTCCCCAACCTGTCATCCCTCCTTCTGCTTCCCAGCAGGTTTCACCAGCCACACAGCAGATGCAGCCAACCCAGACAATACAGCCGCCCCAGCCCACAGGGGGGCGCCGGCGAAGGGTGGTGGATGAGGATCCGGATGAGAGGAGGCGGAAATTTCTGGAACGGAACCGGGCCGCCGCCACCCGCTGCAGACAGAAGAGGAAGGTCTGGGTGATGTCACTGGAAAAGAAAGCTGAAGAACTCACCCAGACAAACATGCAGCTTCAGGTGCAGCCACTGTCCCTCTTCTCAGCCCTCAAAGGCCCTGTGTGCACATGGCACTTCCTGTCCCTGCAGCACTCGTTGCCCGAGCAGTAACACCACACATCAGCCCACAGAGCAACAGGCTCCCTCCGCCAGCGTTATTCATTCGGGACACTGCAGAGCACAATAAGCCATTCAGTTTTCAGTCCGTCTGCGTCTGCCTGCAAAGCTCTAGGAGGGAGAACCTGCCCCATAAGTCACAGAGCTGGGAGCACGGGCTTCGAAGGGTCCCACTCTGTGTTACTTGCTGTGTTTCCTCTCTCCAGCTCTCAGTTTCCTCATCTATAAAATGGGAAAATAACCCCATAGAGTTGCTGGGAGGAATAAATGAACTAATGTGTGCAAAGCCATTTGCCCAGTGCCTGGCACGTCATCCATTTTCCACTTCTACAAAGTCACCAGTGAGGGGTTGCTTTGGCTACCACAGGATTATCTATATTTTTGTTTAAAGGAGGAAAGGGAGGTTCATGTTTATTACTTAGCTCTATAAGAAGAGACATGTTTCTTTCCCATTTTCAAACTTGAGATTTTAATCTTGCACGATTTGTTCCTTCCAGGGGTGGCTCCACTGGGGACATTTTGGAGGCCACTTCAGGAGCGTTTTGAGAGAAGGGTGGGAAACGCCAGGGCCGGGGCTTCTCCAGCGGATACGCACTGTAGAAATGATGAGTTCAGGGCATTTGTTCTGACACAGAAAGCAGCACCCTGTTCACAGCAGGGGAAAAGCACTAAAGAGATGTGACCAGCAGTCCAGGGGCAGAGCCATGGGTGATAGCCCAGCACTTCCAGGAGCTGAGAGATGGCTGAAGAGGAGGGAAGGAGAGGAAGGCTGCCCCAGCTGGGGAAGAGCTGTTTCTCAGAAGTTCATAGGTCACCTTCCGTTCCCATACCAGGTTCTCTGTGCATCCTTAGAAAGGAGCAATTAGGGTGCCAAATCCCCAAAGCCTGTGCATATACAGTTCCATGAATGGGAATGACCTTGGGGCATCCAATGTACAAGTTGAAAATATACAAAGAAAATTTGGGTGATACATGGACTGAATATCATAATTAATGGATGTTCACTCTTCCCCCTAAATGTATCATTCTTTGTGTGATAGACATGAGAAAGAACCTGAGAAACATGTAGAGCAGATATGAGGGAAATAAAACAATAATTACAATTATTCCTCCCAATATTTTATGCTATATGAAGGTGGGGGCTATGTCTCATTGCCTTCCCCCACCACCTACCTCCCCATTTCTAGCCTAGTGTCTCGTTAGCATGGTGAATTCTGAGTGTCTGCACTCAGTATCTGTTGAATAAGTGAATGCATTCCCTGTCTCTGGAGTGCCCCAAGAGCTGGCTGCCTGGCCACTTGGCAGGAATGCGTTTGAAGGGAGTGGAGCCACAGTGGGATGGCTGGACTTAGACACCTCGAGAGTCACTCAAGCCTGCGAATCTGTAATTCTAGAATCTGGCAGGCACAGTAGCATGGGAGGAGGTAGGACGTGGACAAACACTCTTAATACTCATAGTACTCATTTTTATTTTATGTGTATTGAAAAATGTCATTAGAACATCAAACCTTCAATTTCACAAACCCTATTGGTAAGGATGAGGCTAAATCATTACAAAATGAGTTAATTCGTACAAACATGTTAAGTAAATAAGAGTCTTGGTGGATGTGGACCTAGCAAATATTACAGCCATGGTGCCGCTCTGACCAACGGCTGGGAGGCCTTTAAATTTGCTACCAGGTCTGAGGTCTGCAAGAAGACCATGAAAATCTGCAGGGTTTCTGTCTTGACAATGTTGACTTTTGGGCTCGGTACTTCTCTGTTGTATCCTGTGTGTTGCACATGTTTTGCAGTATCCTTGATCTCTCCCCACTGGATATCAGTAGCACCCTCTACCCCACCCCCCATTTGCGACAACCAAAAAGTCTCCAGGTGTTGCCAAATGTCCTCTGCGGGGGCAAAATCATCCCGGGTTGAAACCACTGTCTTAGACGAAGGAGCCAGCTGGCATGGATCAGATGCCAACAAATGTTTAAATCAGTTTCCACTAAAATGAGTCCTTGCAGAATGACTCCAGGCATTGACTGTGGTCCTAGAGCATGAGAACACGGAGGGTCCCAGCAGAGAGCCAGGAAAAGTAAAGATGCCATGGGCCTCAAGGCCAGATGTGTTCATGATTTGGCCAGATGCATGTATATTATTGCTTTTACAAAACAGATAAGGTACATTTACCCTTTACGGACCCTAATCCATGAATTTTTACATTTCTTTAGGGCCAGCATGGCTAATGAAAAGAAATGTTAGAATTCTTGTCCCTGAAAATCAACCAACCAGCAGGTACCAAGATTTGGGGTTGGTGAAGCAGTGCCCACGGAAGGGGCTGTCTCTGAAAAGCCTGCATTGTTGATGTTTTCCAGCTGCCGCTTGGTTCAGAGGGACAGAAACCACACCGTTGCCTTTTTCTGTGCTGGTGGGTGCTCTGCCCCACGCCTTGTGACGCCGGAGAGGGTAGCAGATCCCGTTACCTCTGAGTGACCCTTTCCCTCTCAGTGGACCTTTGTCAGAAGAAAAAGGTGTCTCTCTTGACGCTGGTTCAGTGAGCCAAATTTTAAGTAAACAGAAATGGAAGGTGCTAAGCAAACAAACTCCAGCCAAATGGAATATCCAAGGTCTGGATGGCCAGCTGCCACTTTTGAGTTGTTTTCCAGCATAGAACCTTCTAGTTAGGTTGCAGAGTTTCAGATTGGAAAAATCAGACCTAAGAAAACAAAGTCAAACTCCCAGACCTCATTTCCTTGCCTCCTGACACATCTCTACCCAAGAGGTCAGCGCAGGTATAGAATTGAGGGAGATGGGAGACACCACCCAGTCTGACATTTTGTTTAGGGAGGAACTAAGGCTCAGGGGATGTGATGAGTCTTCCCACAAGTCACACAACCAACCAGTAGCAGGATAAGGACCCAAGTAAGTCTTCTCTTGACCTAATCCCTCTTGCTCTGTGACCTTTTATTCTAGAAAGTTCTGAAACTAAAGATATTCACATTCTTTTCTCTGACAGAGTAGCTAAGATCAGCTCTAAATTCCTCAGCTGCTCATGTGGGGCTCCGTGAGTAGACTGTTTGTGTTCGATGCATGATATGGAAATCATCTGGTCACCCACTGAAATAATTGCTTTTCTCTTTTAGTACAGAGACACATGGCCTAAGTCGCTGCTGAAATTTTAGACACATGAGCCCAGGTTTGGGACTTGGCAAGAGAATAGGCCAGATGGGAACTGTTGCTTGACAAATTGAAAGTCCTTTGTTTCGGAATGAACCAAACCTGGCTTCAGCTAATCTACAAAAAGAAGTGGGGGAGGGGCTATATTGCAGAGCCCATTTTGATTTGATTTGATTTTTTTGGCACAGACTACTGTTTGCATCAATAAGCATTCTGGGTTTATCATATTAACAGAATGACATCCCCCAAGCTCAAAACTGCAAGTGTAGCTTTGAGGGACTTCTTGGAGTGCTTATTTAAAGTATATTATTATAAGATTGAATGTCTCCGTAGGGGGCGCTACTTCATCCCAAGGCAACTGATGGATTTAAAAACAGATTAATCCAATAATGTTTCGTCTACCCTCTTACAGTCTCTATTTAAATGGCTGAATATTTCAGTTAGCAGCAAACCCAAACCAGCTAAGATGGGCTGATTTCAGCAGGAGAATCAGTACTGATTAGTACTACTCTGCTTTCTCAAAGTACTTTTATATGAAGACCTTACACTAACCTACACAGGGAATCAAAAAGAAAAAAATGGTGAATTGCCTCAATTTATAAAGCAAGGTAACTCAGAGTAAGAAAATGCCTGCAGAGGTCCTGGTTTTTATTTCCCTCGAGCTGCAGGCCGCATTGATTTCTTTCATGAATTTCAAAACATTTGCTATCTGGTTGTTCTCTTTCTAAATGAATTCAAGGTGATTCTACTTATGTTACCTTGGACGGCTTTTTGTTTAAAAGAGAGTCTGGTATTTGTGCATTTCCTACCTGTCAGGCTATCGATCCGGAATCTGTAGGGCAATTATGCATGTGCACAGCACAGGATCCACTCTGCTTTCTCCAGGGCAGCCAATCTTGACATTTCTTACCCCGCGGCCTCCATCATGGACTCTGATGAAGGCTCTATACACTCTCAACAATACACACACACACACACACACACACACACACGGACACGAACACCAAATTTTGCATTAAAGAAACTATTAATGTTGCTTTGGAATCTGATAAGATTTGGAAGCATAGGAGGTGCTAAACTGGCTCCCATAGAAAATATGAGACTTAAAAGATAAGCATGTTTGAGAATACCAAAAGTAGTTACCTAACGACTAAAAAGTCAAGATTGAGTTCTTCTTTAGATTATTAGACAATTAACTTTCTCAATAGAAGGTAACATAGAAACACTCATAGAATAAGGAACTACCTTGCAGGAAAGAACTAGAGAACTAGTCCAACCATCTTGTTTTACATTTGGTTGGGGAGGCAGCTTGGGACGCCAAACCCTATTATTCTTAACTTGCAGTTGAGAGTTCCTTTTCCGCTGGAAACTTGCCCCATGAATTTCTGTGGCCATTAGACTTTTATTTAGTCCTTATCAGCATCGTAATTATGTGTGTATGGGCTAGACAAGAGACTGATTGTTTTTCTCTACCGAGAATATTAATCGCCATTCATTTCCCAACCACAACATAGCTACTAGTAAATAACATAATTACTAACACATTACATTAAGAAATATGTCCATATCCACATATATCTTTAAATGATGGCCAGTTGTCACAGTACTTTCCAAGTTCCCACATTTTTACAGACCTTCACAACTCCTAGGGCCTCAGTTTCTATACTTACAACATACAGATTTATTAAAGTGCTTTGCTCTCTACAGACAAAAATGCCACTGCAGTCATATGTTCTGTATGGGGCTTCGGTTATAGTCAGGGACACCACATGTGCATAGTGGTGATTGGTGCTGTTTTATCGTGGCCTCTCATGGAAGCAAAAGGTTTATTGTGAAATGATTTGGGGTGTGCCAAGAATTGTGGGCAGTTAGCTCCTTGCAACTGCAGAAACCCAGAGAACGGAATTCCAAGTGTTTTCCTAAGGAAGGGGCAAAGAACACTCCGTGCCTGGGAAGTTGGGAAGTCGAACCTGCCTAGACAGGGGACTGCCCAGGGCATCGTGGGGGAAGCAGTGGAGACCAAGATGAAGCTTCTGAGAGGGCCACAAAGTGGAATTTTTCTTTCTCCCCGAAGCATAAGAAAGCAAGAAAATCCTGTTGTTGGGTTTTGTTGGAAACACTTTCCTTATTTGTTGTTTCCTAGGTCACAGAAGGACAGTGTGGGTGGATGCACTAAAACTTGGAACTTGACTCCACTTTCTTAGCACCTTTGTCTGCATTACCTGTGGCTGAGAGTTTCTTCTTGGGGGGCAGGTGTCCAGCAGTTGTCATTTCAGAAAGGGGTCATTTCTGAGTCCCACTGAGAATTATGTGACATTTGGCAGCTGGGCTCGATATTCACACATTTAGGTTTCTTTTTCTCCTTTTCAGTTTTGTTTTGTTTGTTTTTAACCTGGGGCTGCCTTCTATATAATGATCTAGAAGTAGCTTTCTTCACACATGCTATTTTAAGCAGGGGGTAGCTGGTACAAGCAGGGGAAGCTGTCTGAATTTAAATGGACATGAAATCAGAGAGGAAAGAATTCGTGTTTAGGGCTAAAATAAATTGTCCTATAAATAAAGTTGTCCCACTGACCCCGGAATTGACAAGGGTCACTTTTGGTTTTGACAGGGTCCCTGATCAATCACACTCATTTGGAAGCAGGAGGTAAAATTCACCTTGCTGACTGTTCTCAGATTTAGGAGCAATTTTCCTGTGCCATGAAGTGATTTATTCATCAATAATGCTAATTTCTTCCATAGATCTTTTTTTTTTTTTGTAAATTTGAAAGGGAGTAAGAAAAGCTCTGAAATGAGATTTTTTTGTTATTTATGTTACTCAACATTTGATTGCCTATAATGTATTTTGCTAATGAATGTGGAAATGGGAGGTATTGTTTAAAACAAGTTTCAAAAAAAAGTTTTAATTAACTTCTAGAATCCCAAACTTACTTTTCTAGGTGATAAATACATGCCTGGAAAGCCAAGCTCATATTGAAAGTGTAGCTACAACTTAATGACAGCAATGTTAAAACACCTTTCCTATGTGCGTGTTTCTTTAACGTCTCCTATGAGCATAATGCCTGGCAGCCACTAATGAGCACAGGCCAGAGAGAGGGTGTTATGTATCACAACTGTAAAATGGCTTATTTGAGATAGTGCTATGTTTCTAGTTTACTTTTATCAAGTGGAAGCACCTTGGAACCAACCATCTCTTCTAAGTATTTGTAGGCAATGGTGCCAAGTAAATTATTCTGCAAAGTCATGGGCTTGTCGTTTGAATTACCACATTAAGTGGAGATCTAAGGCACGTATTTAAGTGAATAAGAAAAATTCACATACACCCTGCTGATGGCGGGAGGGGGAGGGGCACAGAAGAAGACTTTATAGACTGAAATTAGCCAAACTAGTTAATGAACCCATGAAATTAATTCTATCGTGATCCAGAAGTTCATGGCCCCATGCCTCCCTGGGCTGACCTCACCCACCATCCAGAACCAAAATTTGTGCCAGGTGCCTCCATGCCTCCTGCTAAGTGGGCGTCAGGCAGGGATGTGCTCTGTTGAACTACAGCCCATTTGGAACTTCGGGGAAATCTGGTGGTAGATTGGTCAGCTTATCCTGAGGGTATTTCAGATGGAAGCCCTACAAGTCTTCCATTGCGTCACATTCACCTTCTCATCAACCTGACCTTGTCAGACAGTGTAAAGATGATAATTACCGTAACTAAATTTTATTGTGTGCTTACTATGTGCTAGGCATTGTTCTGAGTGTTTTACATCTACGACCTCATTTAATCCTCACGACAACTCAAAGAACTTTGTGCTGTTCTGATCCCCATCTTATAAACAATGTTACTGGAGCTCACTGGGTTACATCACCTGCCTGGAGTCCCTCAGTGAATGTAGAGTGGAGATTCCCACCCAAGGAACCTGGCCCCAGAGTAAACCTAAGCGGTGGACTCTGCACTTTTGCTAGGACCCAGCTCTTGAATGGAAACCTAGCCTCTGCAGAAAGTCCCGGGAAAACGTGAGGGCCAAAGTGAAGGCAAGCTACACATTTCCAGGCAAATCCTGTTAAGTAATATTCTTAATGCCATTCAGACATAACAGAAAAGTTGACCAATTTCACTGTTGGAAGTGCACGGGGCCTTAGGTTTGTGTTCACTGATCTTCTCAACCTGGCTCTCCTACATCTCTTTCCAGAATGAAGTGTCTATGTTGAAAAACGAGGTGGCGCAGCTGAAACAGTTGTTGCTAACACATAAAGATTGCCCAATAACAGCCATGCAGAAAGAGTCGCAAGGATATCTAAGTAAGTCATTGACTTTCTTGCTGTTTTTAATGTTCAGTGTTTTGCCTCTAATTTTGCATTCAATTGTATTGAAAGAGCAAGAGTAAAGTGTAGGTTGTACATCCAGGCAGACACACTAGAACTCGGACGGCTGCCAGACAATGCCACCAGAGGCAGGCCTCTTTTCTAACCCCCGGGCATCACCATGCCCACCACCTCTGGCTAGACTTGCCCTGGCATTTCACATTGTAAAACCCTACCAAATTCCAAATCTGCAACCAGTAGAAAAATGGCCTGCTGGCACCCAATTACCATGGGCTAGCAATCTTCCAGAGAAATCCATGAGCTGGCAAACAGGCCTTGGGTGTATTACATCCAGTGCCTCAGGATACGCAGCATGTTATTCACTGAGCTAAAAAACTGGTGACCTTGCCTCAGTTTATCAATACATAAAGTGGATCCCTTTTCTTAGACCCCAAGTTCTGCAGCTGGAATGTCAGTATATTGGTTAACTATTAGTTGAGTAGGGGGGGTGGGAGGTGCAGGGACTCATGGCTGAAGGTCAATTTATTTTCAAATAATTTTTTAGATTGAGCAACACAGAGTCTCCCACCACATGTGAGTATTTTTCCACATTTGATGTATGGACGGCTATTTGAAAATACCAGGTGGGGAACGTCACATCCCGAGACTCAAACACATTGAACCATTCTGCTGATCTAGAAAGCATGGCTTTGCTTGTAGCTCTAAACTGGGAAGGCATAGCTTTGTGACTACCGTTTAAAGTTCTGAAATTAACCCCCAGGAGAACATGTGTGAAAACACTTCTATTTCTAGTAATCGTCTAGTAGTATTTTTCTAGACTTGAGTAGTCCACAAGTCACCCAGGAAAGAGCTATATTGGGGTGTGTGTGTGTTTTTTCCTAGGTCCGGAGAGCAGCCCTCCCGCGAGCCCGGTCCCCGCTTGCTCCCAGCAGCAGGTCATCCAGCATAACACCATCACCACGTCCTCGGCGGTCAGCGAGGTGGTGGGAAGCTCCACCCTCAGCCAGCTCACCACTCACAGAACAGACCTGAATCCGATCCTTTAAAAACCAGGGCTCAGACCTTGCCTCCAAGAAGAGCTGCCGCGTCCCATGCGTCCTTTCCTTGAAGGGCATTTTTAGAATTAACTCAGACCTGGAAGACTCCTCAGCTCTTCAGAGACTGGCTTTCGTTTTTACAGTCATCATGGAAATGTTGTCTTTTATACTTAGTTCTATGAGAAAAAAGGGAGTTATGCAATTACTATCTATCAGCTTGGGAAATGCTTTGGTGCTTTTCTCCAGTTTTCTGGTACCAGTTACATGTTTATAAACTGAATGCTTTCTGTATATAGTCATGGTTTCATTAGCAGTCCAACCCTTTGCCTGAGACATTGACTCTTGTTAAGCCGCAGCTTATAGCCAAAATGAGGCATGCTTAGGTGTCAACAGATGCAAGGCAACTGGGTGAGATGTCTGATGACATCATAGTCCGTGTTGAGCTTGTGCTGTGATGTCACCAGAATCCCAGATAAACACAGAGCCTTTTCCACAGCTTTGTTTCTCTTACTATAAAAAGCGTAAGATCCATTGGTGTCCAAATAACGCCACCAGGCATCTCCCCACCCCTCCTGCTCCCCTTGGCCCACTTCCTCCAATGCCCACTTCCTTCTCCGTTTCCACTCCTTGCTGGGCTCCCTGTTTACTCTATATCTTTACTTTCTTCTGCTTTATTTTTCCCCCTTGAGCATTGCATGTAAAGAAGAAAATAATGTTTAAAGAAAAAAATAAAAGCAAACCTCAGCAATGTGGACCTAGCCATCGCTTCCCTTGCCCTTGACCCGCAGCTGGAGTTCATTCAACTCGTGCTTCTTACAAAATAGTAACCAGGAGATGTTTAATGTGCCTGATTTAATGTTTTTAATAATCAGAGCAAATAAAAAGTGGCTTAGCCATAGGTGAAGCACTGTTGAGTGCCAGCTGTGGAGACACTAGGGAAGGGAGCCGTGTAAGCCTCGATTGTGAAAGTCCAAATCATGATGCGAGGCTAAAACATCACACCCTCAAATCACAGCTGGTTTTATATGGCCTGTCTATAACGTCAAAAACCCATGTACTATATAATAATTCAGAAGGGCTCTATTCACTACACAAATTACATTGTTCAGTCATCAGCTACTAATAGCCTAAGATTTATTGTTGTGTATGTTTTTTCTTAAGCCTATGGAACCAGCTTTGCTGTTCTGGTGGGTGAAAGTAGATGAACTAGTGGAGGAACAAAGAGAGAAAGAAAACCTAATGTTCCATTGGGGCACTTCCCGCCCTCCCACGGCAGTGAAAGAAAGGACCCCATGGACATGGCTACTCCACTCTCCTGAACAATTCTGATTTACATTTTCAACAACTTTTGTGGAATTGCCCATTATACAAAGCAGATAGTTCCAAACCACAGTTGTGCCTCCTTGAATCAAGCCATTCTACTGTGCTAATGTTTTAATATCACATCTCACAAATAACCAGGCTAATGTTTCTCTTTAGCAGTCTAGACAGGTGCTGGTGTTTCATCTCCATTTGAATGCTTGACCTCCTAACATGAGTGTGTGTGTGTGTGTGTGTGTGTGTGTGTGTGTTCATGGGATTTAAAGGAATAGTATTTTACAAAAGGTGTAGCTTTTATAAGAGTTCAGAAAAAGGAAGGACGTGTGTGTTTTTTCTCTCACTATAGTGTAAGAATCTATTTTGGAGAAAAGAGAAAATATGAGAGTTGTGAAGCATGATTTTTATAACTAGTTTCAGTTTTATCTACTAACTTACTTTTTAAATCAGTATTTATCAACAATCTTTTCATGTATGCAGTGCTTTCGAAAGAAACTTTTGAGTATCCAGTGAAACTCATGACTTGGATATATGGTCTAAAAATCAAAGCAAAAACAAACAAAAAAAAGAAAACAAAAAAAAAGAAAAGGAAAAAAAAGAAAAATGTAAACAAAAAGGATTTTCTATTATATTTTAGACGAACATATCATTTTTAAGTATTTTAAATACTGAATTCAAAGTTGTTTTTTGTTTTGTCTTGTTTTGAATCCCAGCAGTAACAGTTGAGTGGTTTAACCTAACTGGCTTCCTAAGAAACATTGAAGATTTAGCTGAAAAATAAGTTAACATTCTTATCTCTTTATTGAAATGAAAAATAATTTTTTCATAACTCCTGCCTAGGACTATCTATGTGTCCCTCTACAAAGGAAAAAGAGCTCATTGAAATGTTTGTTTGGGGTTTTTTTTTAATTTTTTGCTTTAAGTAAACAAAAACTTTTCTTTCTTTACTGCATGCATAGCACTTACGAAATGGATTTTTAAAAAATCCACTGGTGATACCAGAATGTCCAGGGAGTGGGTTGTCACTAAAATTATGGTTTACTATTGTTCCACCTCTTGACTGAAATATTTAGTTGCTAAACCCAAAGCCTCTGCAGTTAAGAACTTGCCTGAGTTTCCTTAATTCAGCAACTTGACAGTTTGACTGATGTGCATTATATATAGCTCAATTATGTCTGTTCTTTATGCTAAGTAGGCGAACCAGCCACACACGTTGGCCAACGGGCCTCAGCGTATAATTAGAAGGAACTGTCTTCTTGTTACACGCAGGGCCGTTAGGTGTGTTCATTAGCAATGTGGAAACAGTCAATGGAAGATGCCTGAAATCCCAAACAGAAAGGCTCATTGGTCACATCCAACACTCGGCTTATCAATATCAGCTTATCAATATGAAGTGATTTCCCTTGAAGGCCCAGCTTTCTCCGGACTATGGAACAATCAGTCCTCCCTCTTGCCAATCTGGGAAAATGTCTTTCTCCCCCATTCTTCTCTCCCACTGAATTACTGGTCACCCCTCCATAATTTCATGAATCGGTTGCAGCGATCTTCAGAGCATTCACCCGAGGGCTCTGCAGCGCTGCCCTCCTCGCTCCCTTGGCATATTTTTATTGGCAGGATATGCTTCTGAAGTCACTGCCAGCCTACCTGGAAATTACTACTTTTTTCCTCCCCTGCCTTTTGTGATGGGAGTTAACACCTTTGAAAAGTACACGTGGTAGTGTTTCTACCCGCTGAATCCTCCCCGAAACTGAAGCATCCACATCTGAATTGTTTCTCCTTAACAACATAGGCAGGGACAGGTCTGGTGGAAATCCTAGCCTTGGATGAATGCACTTGTTTCAAAGCCAGGTGTTAGGTCAGAAGTCTTCCCTATACCTTCCCACCCACCCTGCTCCCACCTCCAAGTCAATGTCCTCAAGTCACCATCTCAGCACAGCTTGTAGGAGCCGGTATGTGCTGTCACTGCGTGGTTAGCATGAGGGTGACTGACTTGGGGCAAATGCTCTTTGGAGCCTATTCAGTCAAACGCAGCAAGTACCCAATAGAGGGGCATCAACGGTGAACGTTCAGGTGGCTGTTGCCTGTTAGTGAGGCACATTTGAGTGTGTCTGTTGATTCGTCATTTGAAATCTTAAACTAGCTGCAGTGAAAGACCAGCCCTGGGCTGGGGGTGGGGTAGGTTAAGCTTCAGTAACAGCTATAAATCTAGCCATTTGGTTAGAGTAGAATGTGCTTTCTGGTTAATAAAGATCATCTAAGAAAATATATATGTATGTATGTGTGTATACAGTGGAAGTCAAGGACCAAAGCAAAATTTGAACAGGAATCTATTAATTTAGAATTTTATAAGATATTTATTAATAAATGTTATTTTTAAACATTCCATTTGAACAGTATTCTTCTGTAGGATCTACTTGTTTTTAAAGTATTAGCTCATAATAAACTACTCTAGTGTATGTAGCCTCATTTTTCAGGGTTTCAATGGCCGCGCTCCATCATTTGGTGGAAATGTTTGCTTGGACCTCTTTGCATAGAAATATCAAGGATTATTATTGCTCTGTGAGTTATTTTTTTAATCTGTGTTCTGAACAGCTTTTTTTTCAAAAAAAAAAACAACATTTATCCCTTTGTGCATGTGTAAAGTAAGCTCTCCCCTTTAGGGAGCACAGTTCAGCTAAAGGGAATCAGTAACTACAACTGGAATACTTTCTTGTAAAAGTGTAAAAACAACTTCATCTCTGTGTCTCTCCACCCCACCCCAATTTCCCAGAGTGCTTTGCACTATTCAGCTCTCTCAGTGCTCTTTGTGTCCCTTCTCAAACAATGCAGTAGCTTTAAGCCACTCAACGCCATTATGCAGTCTATCTGAGAAGGAAAAGGAAACAACCCATTTAAATTTGAATAAAACTGTGCCTATGCGAACAGTAGCAATTTAGAACCTCTCTTCTGCTTAAAATAATTTATATTTTAAAGTTGCACTTTAGCTTTTCTGATCCCTTTCTCTTGTTCTCTCTTGAACCTCCACCTTGTCCTCAAGCTTGCCTTCCCTCTTCCCTCTTCACTGAACCCCACCCCTTCCTCCCAGGCTCTGAGCTGCATCATTTAACATACTTTATGTAATATTTGCACCAGGTACATTTGCGTGTGGTCCTAAGTAGCCTAGCGAAGATGTGCTGCTCACATCGCCTAGATGAAGCCTGCTACGAGAATGCGCAGGAGAAGAGCCAGTTTATACTCTACCTTTATTCACAGCATGTTTTTGTAAAGTGTTATATTATGCAACAGATGTGAGGCAGCAGCTAAGCTACACTTAAGAATGTTCTATCTTATCCTCCAAACCAAAGTGTCCTGAACGAGCAGGAGACTTGTTGTGCGCATCATGGTGCACAATGGACTGTTGTCCTAGCCATGGTCTCTCTGAGGCTGCTGAAATAGCAGTGGTCCTTTCTAGTCCATTCCTAGGTCTCAAAAATGCAATGTTGCCTTGTAACAAAATTAGGGACAGCGCCTTTATTTTACAATTGTAATCTAAGAAAGGACAAGAAGACACTGAAGCAATAAACTTACAAGTAAACTCCAATACCAAAACAAAGAGAAGAAAAAATAAACCTTCACTCATCGTGTTGTGAAAATAAAAAAGTGTATGTCCATTCAAAATATTTTACTATTTCTTGTGGAGTTTCTCAGTGATGTAATGCTTATAGCCAAATTGCTTAAAGAGTGTTTATATATTTTTTCCTTATAAATTGTCTATTTTTAAATAAAAACTATTTAACCACACATTGAAGGGGGGTAAGGCCAAATTGCCAGCATTCGTTTCAAGATGAATATTCTTCCGTGGCACTCTGATACCTTTCCAAGCTTATCATCAGAGGGAACCAATCATTATCAGCCGTTCAATGTAGACCAACTTACAGTATCTAACTCAGTAGTAGTCAGGATTTAGAAAGCTCTTCTTAAGCCATTTGAGAATTTCTTGCATTGAGTTTCATATTATAGAACTTTATAGAACGTTTGTTTTTACAGAGTTATGGTAGCCTCAGGACAGAGAATGTGGAGCCTGAATGAAGTAGCTTTAAGTGCATCATTAAAGTCATATCACACTAAGCTCCCCAGGCTGGTGCGCTCCTTTAGAATGCCAGTGCTCTGGACACTTAGGAGGCCGAGAAAGGTATCCCAGTGCTGAAGTGGAGGGCATTCAGAGAAAGGACCCTTGCCAGCCGGCCAGTAAAAAAAAAAAAAAAAAAAAAAAGGACCTACCTACCCTCTTTCCTTCTACGTTCTGCTAAATCACACCTGCCTCACAGAGAGAGGGCTTCTGCCTTTGAGGCTTGTCTGGAAGAAAAAATAAGCTTTGAAATGTTCTCCTTGGGGAGGACATGGGGTTTGGGATCTTCTGGAAAAGCCCAGAAGAAAAAATGGCTTGGTTCAAACACATATTCCAGGGCAATTGGAATATAGATATTGTGCAAAAAGAGAACTAAAAGAGAAAAGTTTAGCATTGTACAAAGTAAGTGTTAACTAAGGAAGTCCCCCCAAAAAGGTGCTGTCACTTTAAGTTCTAGACTGGGGGGTTGTTTGTAATTGTAAACAGCAAAGCATTTGTGTTTGTTTGTCTATTTGTAAAGCAACCACCTTCCTTACTGGAAGGAGAAAACAATTTTGGGGTACATACCTGTAAATATTTGCTGCAGCATTTAATATGTTTAATT